AGGCTTGCATCTCCTCCACCACCATTGGGACTTGTCTCTTGGTCTAATTCTGAACCTGGATTTATTACTTTTCTGAAAGAGCACTAAATCTGCATCCTGAAATAATTTGGTTGACAAGTTGCAGGAAGAGAAGCTGGGTGAAGATTAAAGTGGGAGAGACTTCTACCTCTAGTGATACGTCATGGTCAGGGAGCACTTTTCTGTCTGTAACGAGTAACTGGGGTAACTGGAAAAGCGGTTACACACTTTCTCTATTAGGCAGCTGGCCACATTCAGTTGACCTTGCCTACCACAGGTTAAAAAGAGCTATTAGTGGTTGTTTTTCCTGACAGCAGGTGATATTTGGTGGGAGGAAAAATAAAGCCAGGAGAATTGACCAATTGCTTTTGAAACCTTGACCAGCATTAAAACTGAAGGACAGTATTAGATCCAGGATCAGCTGTTGGGATAGTGGGTCCTTTTCATTTGAACTTTCTGAAGGACAGCTTATTAATGCATCCCTGAGGCAACGCCCTCTGCATGCTCCGAGTGGCTTCCTGCAAATCTGTAGGTTAACTTTAGACATCACTTCTTTTGAAAGAGTGCTGCTCCGATTGGGATATTGGTGTTGAGTAACCAAACACAATGATAAACATTTTGATAAGCTAAAATGGCACATATAAGTGGCCGACATGAGGGTATAGGGAGCATGGCCATTAGTCTTAAGTGCTATGTGGAAGAGTCTGCCTCTAAATGGAGAGGCAACTATGTTATTCCTGAATACCAGCTGCTGTGGAATAACAACAGGAAAGGAGTATACAGTGCATCCACGTCCTGCCTGTGGGTTTCCCAAAGGAATCAGTTTGGCCACTGTGGGAAACAGGATGTGGCATCCAGATAGACCTTTGGTCTGATCCAGCTGATCTCCTTGGGCTCTCTGGCACGCAAAACGGAATGCCATATCTATTATGAACAACTAAAATGAATAATCGCACAATAAGTTTTTTTAAAAAAACTTGTTTTAGAACAAGTAATGGGCTTCTCTGATGTTATATTTGAGAGGGAAAAATTGAGACAATTTGTGCAATAGGCACATTCTGGGACATTTAGTACAATATTTTTCCCTTTAGATAATTGTGTCTTTTTTTGCCTGCTAATGATGCAATCGATACTGTATGCTTTGATCATGTCGGGTACTGTATTACAGTTTCTATACTACGTAACTTTATTAATTTAAATCATAGCACGGGGTCCACAGAGAGAGGATTAAAAAAAAGTTAAGATAATAGCCAGAGCCATGCAAACAAATCCCGTGCCTTGGTTTAAACATATGCTAACACATTGAAAGGGGTGGGGCTTCAGTTGATCTTTTTGACCTACTTCCTACAGATAGTAATAGCAATAGCACTTAGACATATATACCGCTTCACAGTGCCTTACAGCCCGCTCTAAGCAGTTTACAGATTCAGCCTATTGCCCCCAACAATCTGGGTCCTCATTTATCCACCTTGGAAGGATGGAAAGCTGAAAAATCTGCAAGTCTTTACGCCCCCACCCCCACTTTCTCCTTTATCCCAGACACACGAATTGTTCTACAAGCTAACATGTGCTATTTTAGAAACTTCAGGTAGTCCTCAATTTACGACCACAATTGAGCCCAAAATTTATGTTGTTAAGTGAGAAATTTGTTGAGTGAGTTTTGCCCCACGTTACGTCTTTTTCCGCCATCTTTGTTAAGTGTATCACTGAAGTTGTTAAATTAGTCACATGGTTGTTAAGTGAATCTGGCTTCTCCATTGATTTTGCTTGTCAGAAGGTTGCAAAAGGGAATCACATGACTCCAGGACACAGCAACCGTCATAAATATGAATCACTTGTCAAGCATCCAAATGTAACTCATGTGACATACTGCAAAGGTCGTAAGTGTGAAAAATGGTTGTAAGTCACTTTTTTCAGTGCCGTTGTAACTTCGAACAGTCACTAAACAAACTGTTGTAAGTAAAGGACTACCTGTATGCAGATTTGTATGCCTTTTTAAAAAAGTTATTGTATAACAGTGTTTCTTAAACTGTTAATATCTCAAGATCTCTTACCAGTTTTAAAAATTAAAATTGATGCATTCACTGTCATTACTTTTCGTGATTGTTTGAAAGAATATTAATTTTGTACTAATTTTCAATATAGACCAGTAAATAATTTTGATTTCACAAACCCTGGAGAAGGTATTGTAAGACATCCTAGGACCACATTTTAAGAAATACTGCTATATATCATGGAAACTGGATATAATACAGATAGTCCTTGACTTACAACCACAATTCAGCTCAGTTTTTTTGTTGCTAAATGAGACATTTATTAAGTGAATTTTGCCCCATTTTATGACCTTTCTTGCCAGAATTGTTAAGTGAATCACTGCAGTTGTTAAATTAGTAACATGGTTGTTAAATGAATCTGGCTTTCCCATTGACATTGCTTGTCAGAAGATGGCAAAAGGGGATCACATGACCCCAGGACACTATAACGGTCATAAATGTGAGTCAATTACCAAGTGTCTGAATTTTGATCACATGACCATGAAGATGTTGCAATAGTTGGTAAATGTACAAAACAGTCATAAATCACTTTTTTCAGTGCTTTTGTAACTTTGAACAGTTACTAAATGAACTGTTGTAAATTGAGAATTACCTGTATGATGCAAATTGGTGGGAATTTAAAAACTGTTGAAGCAGACTGAGAGATGGCTGGGAGCCAACAGTGTTAAGAGAAAATTAAACCCAGATTAACAGATTAACAAGGCATAGTTCCTGAGTTAGTGATACTGTTGGTAAGTTATATGTTAGGCTATGAGCTAAGAAAGATGATAAGTGTATGATTGAGGAAACTGGGTATGTCTAGTCAAACGAAGAGAAGGATAGGGATGATATGACAGCAGTCTTCCAATATTTGAGGGAAGTCTGTCACAGAGAAGAGGGGATCAACCTATTCTCCATAGCATCTGAGGGCAAGACAAGAAGTAAGGGGTGGAAGATTAAACAAATATCCAATCTAGAATTAAAGAAAATTTTGCTGACAGAGAGAATAATTAATTAATGGAATGGCTTGCCTCAATAAGTTGTGGATGCTCCATTATTGGAGGCTTTCAAGAAGAGACTGGATGGCCATTTGTCTGGAATGACGTGGGGAATGATGGCCTCTTTATGACTTATGGACTTCAACTCCCAGAATTGTGGGAGTTGAAGTCCACAAATTATAAAAGAGCTATTCTTTCCTGCTTGAGCAGAAGGTTTCCTGCTTGAGCAGAGGGTTGGACTAGAACCGTGATGGCGAACCTATGGCACACGTGCCAGAGGTGGCACACAGAGCCCTCTCTGTGGGCACATGTGCCGTCACCAGCTGCTCTTCTGGTTTCCGACACATGCATGTGCATTGGCCACCTGGTCTTTGCATGCGCTTGAGCACCAGAAACCCAAAGGACCAGTATGCTGGCCACCTGTTTTTGGGTTTCCGGCGCTCCGTCACTTGCGAAGACAAGCTGGCCAGCGCGCATGCGTGCACTGAAAACCCAAAGACAAGTGGCCGGCTAGCTAGTCTTTGGGTTTCTGGCACTCCATGTGCATGTGCTCCGGTTTGGGCACTTGGTGCCGAAAAGGTCCACCATCACTGGACTAGATGATTTCCAAAGTCCCTTCCAACCCTATTACTCTATATTCTATGTTCACTGGTAGTTACTTTTGAGGAAATAATAGTAAGATTCTACTGATAATTGATCATTGTCATCTAAGTTTACTTAAATAATGAGTATTGTTGTTATTCTGTACTCTTTTTGCTCAAAGGCTGCATTCACATAACACATTCATCTACAGTTGTTTGTTCTCAGTTTACCCAAGTGACTTAGGTTCACACAACACAGTAAGCCAATTATATAGTACAATGTTCACATAAGCTACCAACCCTAATTCAAATAAAACAGATTACGGTTTAATTATGTATTTCAATGCTGTTTTGTTAACTTCAGGCTTAATTATGTGTGAACACATCCAACTGTGGCTTTAGTTAAAAAAAAAAAAGCAGTTTAAAGTGTTAATTTAGGTGGCATAAACCCAGTCAAAATTACTATTACTAAAATGTTAATGTTAATATGGCAAAAATTATAAAACTATGTGAAATGCTTTCAAGATTTAAAAAAAAGGTCCAGTACAGTATATAAATTATACTGAAAATCCCAGCTCTGGCCACGTGTGTGGTATAGCTCTGCCTACTTCATCTTTGCTCCACCCACTACAGTTTTGCTCCTCTTAAAACGTCTGGAGGGTAAGTAGTCCCCTCTTACAAAGATTGTTGACGTCTGCCCTATGGTAAGAAGAGCATACTTTGCTAAGTACAGTAGTGAGTGTTGTGTTTCGTTTATTTCCTCTTAGGCTCGTGCGCTTTTTCAACTGTATGACAGGCAGAACTCGGCATGCAGCTGGGTAATCACTGGCGTAAACACTTTATCTGTTTGATTCTTCTTGGTTGCACAAGCTGTAGAAGTCTTTCCAGGTGGGGGGAGAATTTGGCTACGCTAACAGCGAACTCTAGATTTATTCAGACACACATACGGTGTATTTATTTATTTTTTAAAAAAAGGTTCGAAACAAATTATTGCTAGGATTGGAGTAGAACGTACCCTTATTTGGAAATAAGCCTAGTTGGAAGAAATCGGGACATACGTTTCCGAGAAAACGTACACGGGCAGAATGCTCGGATAAGCTGATCGCTCGTGAACAGGATGCGAATTTCCACTGACTATCTGCCTCTGTAACGCCAGAGAAAAAGTGCACGGGGGCTGAGAAGAACCGGGGAAGGCGAGGTGTTTTGCTGGGGGGATCGAACCTGCTCCCTCCTTTCCTTTGCAGGAGGAAAATCGCTGTGCGCGCGGCGGCCGTTCTGGCACAGCGCGTCCTCGGCCTGCAGGGTGCAGGCGTTAGCCAAGGCGGCCGCTGTGGCGGTGGGGAGGGATGGGGAGAGGGGGTGGAGGAGGAGGAGCCAGGCCGGCCTCCTTCCCTTCGGCTCTCGAGTCCATTTCCCCAGCTCTAGTGACACAAACGCACCAAGGCGAGCGCCGCTACTGCCCGAGCCCGGATCTTACAAGACCCTCTTGGCCGTCTCCTCCACCGATCCCCTCCCTTGGGGCTGCAGCGAAGGAGTGCGCGGGGAAACTCCAGCTTGCGAGGGGAAGGGGAGGGGGGCAGGACGCCAGCTTCCTGCTTGCAAAGAAGGGGGGGGGGGCGGGGGGAGAAAGAAGAAGACGGAGAGCAGCCGCCGCCGCCGCCTCGCCAAAGGTAGGTTACGGCGGGTGAAAGAAGAGCGAATTGCGGATTCTGAAGGGGAAGCTTCGTGTGCGCTTGTGAACCCCAATATGTCTTCCCTTCTCGGCCCCCCACCCTCTTCCAGCTGTCTCCACCCTGCGCTCCCCGTCCCCTCGCAGCTGTTCCTGTCACTGCCAACGTTGCAAATCTAAACGAGATTAGGCAGGGGTGGTGGGAAAAAGATGCGCCCCCCCCCCTCCTTTCCCATATAGGGATTTTTCGCTTGTGGAATCTTGTGGAGTGAAACCTCGTCTCCTCTCCTCCCCCCCCCCCCCTTTTAATCTCATTTAATGTTTTTCCCTCTCGTTTGGCTCTCTCTCTACATACATTACATTACATACATATACACACACACACATACATACATACATACATACTTACTCCCCTTCTCTTTTCAGCAATGGAGAGAAAGAGAGAAGGCTTTAAGGAGAGACAGGAATGAGGAGAAAAAGGGAAACACTTTTCTTTCCAAAAGACAGGCTTGTTTATTTATTGCACTTTCTGGAGATTGGTGCTGATTTGGGATTTCTGATAATTTGGGGGGGGGGGGGCGCAAAAAAAATGGTTTGCTCAGAAGTGATGATCTCAAAATCAAATTTCTTTTTAACATCAAAAATTAAAAATTTGCTTGCTGACGCTAATCCCCTCCTCTCCAAGAGATGGTGGTAGGGTTAATTCCCCACTTTTTTCCGTCTTGCATGAATTTGATTTCTTACTGTTTGCATCTCTGGTTCTAATCTCAGGAAGGTCTCTCTGTTTTTGCATATTTCTTGTTTTAAATGCAAAGATTGTTGCAAAGGCTGACAATAGAAAATTAGTTTTGACATTTGCATTGATTTGGGGGGGGGTAGAAGAGTTAGGAAAGAGGAGATTATTTTTCTATTTGTGTTTAAAGGGGGGAAATGTGGGTAAATATTTTCTTTAAAAATAAGGACGTTTGGCATGTGGCTGGTGGTCACAAGTCTAGGGGGGCTGTAGGGGGGACTGCGTTTTTAATGTTGGCAGCAAGGCCCATTTTCTGGTAGAGCTGGATTTAACTTTCCTATTCCATTTTTAAAAAAAAAAAATAGGGGAAGGGCTCAGGGTGAGTGAAGTGTCCCCCTTTTGGCTTGAGGGTGGTGGTGGAAGGCGGTACTTTGGGTTGAAAAGGAACCCATGCAGCAGGGATCCTGTACTTGAAGGAAGGGGGATTCTGAGGGGCGACTCTGATGCTCATTCCGCTGTCAGAGAGACATCTGTCTGTAGGGGAACATGGTTAGAGTGGCGGATTAATCCTGAGTACTTAATGCATGTCAATGTTTAAAAATCAGAAGCTTTGAGATGTCTGTAAATGCTTCTGTGTAGCTCCCAATTTTATTTAAAATTGAAAGAGAAAGCTGAACAGCAGAGATTGATATAAATCTGAATTGTCAGAATGCAAGTTTTTGCATGTATCTTGCAAGGAGGGGCCTTGTGTCACCCTGCCCCTCTCTCCAGTTTTGTCAGTGTTGCTTGCATTTTTCCCCAGTGAAAGCTTTCTTTCCTCCCCCTCTTTGTGAGGGAGAGAATGGGTGTACATCAGTTTGCTTATGGTGCAAGTTGATGGGCTTCAGGAAAGGAAAGATACCTCTTTTTCCCTTTAAAGACCAGTCCAGAGACCATCCCTTGTGTGGATCATCAAAAGGTAACTAGGCAGATATCTTTCAACCACTTCAGACATTCAATGACATATTTTTGGTTTTTTTAAAAAAGCAATCTCCAACCGGTTGGGGGCAGATTTTGAGGAAATTTCTTTCTGGTAAAGAAGTCAACTTCCAACCTGGACCAAGGCTAAAGGCACATTTATGGGGGTTTTCATTGGGCATGAATAGTTTCAGTTAGTTTTTCTACTAACTAGGAAGATTTTATCATATCTTTATTTGCACTTCTCTTCATTAGCCTATGGCTTCACGTTCAGATCTCCCTTCGCAAATTTTTTTTGTTGCTTTATGTAGTATTAATTTTACCTCCCTCACTTTACCTCCCTCTTTTATCCTGCATATAGAAATGTGGAGGAATGAAAAAAAGATCATAAGATTGCCTTTTAATACAATTAAAAAGGAGTGTAATACTAGCAAAGTTTCGTTCAAAAAAATTTATGACTAACAGACTTTGAAGGAAGTTACAAGCATTAAGTGAATAGTGGTAGCCCTTAGAAGAGCAAAGGTCATGATCTGGAAGTGACCTCAGCCTTGCCCACCCTAAAACAGCTTGCAGTGGCAATAAGCAGGTAAAGAGGTTAGTGCAGGCCAAGAGTATGATTTATTTAGAAGTCAAGGCAGGGAATTAAACCTAGAAATTTTTTCTTACATTAGAAGAGCGACTTTTGTCAACAAAGCAAAAAGGTAAGGCAACTATGAGGTATTCTTATTGCTCTGTTGGGAGTATTGTCTACCTACCCCATACCTGTGTAATATGAATGCAGATCTTCACACTACTTAGACTGAAGGTAAATCTCTTTTGTGTACCATATTATCAACATCTGAATCTTCTACTAACTAGCAATATTAATGTATACATTCAAAATGTCCAAGAGCAATTCAATTAATCTTGCTGTAGTATGTGAAAACACCCTTGCTAGATTTGAAACTTCTGTGTGAAATTTTTGGTTTCTCTCGCTCTCTTTGTTTCTCTCTCTCTTTCTGTCTGTTTTTCTGTCTGTCTGTCTCTCTCTCTCTCTCTCTCTCTCTCTCACACACACACACACACACACATATACACACACTCACTCTTAAGTATTTATCACCTTCTGGAGAACAAAATTAGCTTATGACAAATTGCATTGTTCTAAAATGTTCCTCCCCTTAAATTGGCTTTGGTGATCAAGCTATGATGTCTGTATATTATAGGAACTATAGTCTGAGAAATTTGGCAGGCATCAGATTGAGGACAACCATCTGAAACAACTGGAACTTGGCAACAAAATGGGAATGTATAGTTTTAGCAGCTGGTTATGAAAGAGAGAGAAATAGTTTTTAAATTTCACACGGAAAGAAAAAATACCACGGTCCCAATTTGGTGGCCTTTACTTTAAAACAAGATATTCAGAATCAGTTGTGGTTACTTGTTTGACGGATATTGCTCCCCCCCCCCTCCAACTCAGTGATCTGTGTTGGTAGACGAAACATTTTGTTTTGATTATGGTTCATATGTAAGTTAAGCTTGTCTTGGAGAGCAGTTATAGACTTGTTTTTGAGATGGGGAGCGGGGGGTGGAAGGTCTCATACATTTCAAAGATGGGTGGGTGCTTTGCCCTGCTGCGACTGGATTTGGGCAGTATTTAATAGATCCCATTTAAGGCTTCTAGAGGTGCCCGCATGGGGATTAAGTTGTAGTAGGTGATACATAAGTGGTTTTTCCTGGTAGCTTTGCAACAACAACCAAACAGGTTTCCCTACCCGTAAAAATTAATAGTTGTGTGCTTGGCTGAGGTGGCTGAGCCATGGTACACTTGAAGTGTTTTAGCATAGTTTTTAAATATCAGTGCCATAGTGCCCTCTTCATCTCACCTGGGTTGACCTTCAGCTAGGATGACCCTGAGGAAATGCTTTTTTTCAGGACCTCCACTTCATATTGACTGGTTGAAGCTTCAGGTACTACAGAGAGCACAATAAAAACTACAGAATCTGTTACAGACTCAGCTTTTCTTTTCACACTTACATTTGTAAAATTTCTTACTATATTATAGTTGTTCTCATTGCTCTGAGATGTCCCACACCAGTTTCTACTTCACCGGCTGCTGGATTAATTTTCCTGTTAAATGTTTTTATATGCCTTTATACATTACTATTGCTCTCTACAGTTGTTGAATTTATACATTGTTCATATTTGCCTCAGATTGATGCAATGAGCGCATACAAACATGTCATGGTGATTGGTTTTTTGCTTGCAGAAGTACCATATTTGATAATACTCTGTGTTTGCGTGTGTGTGTGAATAAATTCCACATGATCCTGATACTATTAGTGATCAGTTTCCATATCTGCTTAAGAAAAGGCAGATAGCCTACGGAGGACAAGACTGAAAAGTAATAACTTGATCAGGACCACTTGAAATACATCATTTGATTTTTGTTTTTGTGTATCAGAATGTAATGGTTTCTCCCTTAAAACATCCTGTTATCTGCTTCAGAAGAAACAAAAACCTTTTATTAAGCACCAACCTGAGTTTTACTAATTTAATAGAAGAGTTTTCCTGAAGAAGCTGTGGGGGTAGACAGCCATTAGCAATAGCACCATCCTGTGGTATTTGAAATTGAGACCAGTTGGTTTTCAAGTTGTTGATCCAAATATGGCAACTTTTCCCCATACATGAGGAAATTTTAGGAGCAGGCAGACTGCCCCCCCCAAAAAAAGTGCCTCACAATTGCTGAATAAGAGTATAGAATATGGTTGTTAATAAAGCCATTTCCTATAGTGCATACTTTTTCAATTAATATATTATTTCAATTTCAATTGAAGCAATAATGAAAATGATTAGCAGAATTCAAACAAAGTTATTTGTTTGTGACATCATCTGATACGCTGATAGGCATGGGTGGGAACATGCCGATCAGTAAAATCATGATTTGTCCTATGATATTAAATGACTAAAAACCTATGATTTATTTTAGACTTAAGGATCACAAGGGTAGTTCAATATAATTGTGAACAGAACAGCATCATTTGTCTGTACTTTGTATGATATAGTTCTACTTTAACCAACTGAATCATCAGTTGATTGAGATGCAATACTCAGTAATTTTAAAAAAGGAATAAAAATAAACCAGGAGCTTTCCATGACTATCTTTCTAACCTACAGTATTTATTAAAATTTGATTTGCATTGTATGTAATCACTATCAGGTGGGGTTCAGGATCAAAGAGTTTTGCAAATCGTTCAATAACAAAAAGAATATATGTTTGTATGTAAAATATTTTGATATTTGAATATTACTCCTGGGTTCTTCACAGTCTT